ACAAACCATAAGATCATGACCTGTGCTGAAATTAAGAGTCAGATGCTCAACAAACTGAGCCACACAGGCAACCTTATTTCTTCAATATTTCAACAAAATTATAGGGAAAAGTTGTAATATCAACAGTAAAAACATGATCCTGCCTTCATTGTTTTCTCTCCTTCTGATCTCCTGTTAATGCCAAATGATTCCTAATTGTCATTTCCTACCTTTGTAACCATCTAGCTATTCCCACTGCAACACCTTATTTTTTATCTTTAAAAGCTTGTGAACCTGAATTAAGCTCCAATATTCTCTCTTTTTATTTTGTGCTTTGAAAATGTATTTCTTCTCCCGTTTGAAATATCCTGACATATAATTTTCCTTCTGTTCATCATGTCTGCATGTTCAACTTTGAATATTATTAGACTTTTTTATTTCCATGATTCTTAGTGCTCTGTATACCATTTTATTGTAGAAGTTACTCATATTAAAAGTTAAAATTCTATATTTTTAAAATTTTTTAAAAATTTTATTTATTTTTGAGAGACAGAGTGTGAGTGGGGGAGGGGCAGAGAGAGAAGGAGACACTGAATCCAAAGCAGGTTCCAGACTCTGAACTGTCAGCACAGAGCAGAGGTGGGGCTCCAACGCATGAGCCAAGAGATCATGGCCTGAGCTGAAGTCAGAGGCTCAACCGACTGAGCCACTCAAGCGCCCCAATTCTGTAAGTTTTATGTACTTACAGATACATATGTTTTCATTAGGTCAACATGGACACAAAAGAAATTCTACTTAAGTATTTAAATGTATCTCCTAGTAGGCTGTTTGGAACATTAAGGTGTTTGCACTAAGTTAATTCACAGCATAATGTGTGCCAAATGGGTAACTCTTTACTTTTGCTTTCAAAGAAATAACACCTTCCTGTTTGTCAGTCCTACATCCCCCGTGAAAGCCATGGGCTGCACCTTTCCGTTTCCTTTGTGCCCTTGATAAATGGCGCATCTCTCTCTCTCTTGGTTCCTCAAGTCATCTCTTTCAATAGGTTCTTTCCCTTATTTATATACAGAAATATGCTCTTGATCACCAATTATAAAACCACTTGAACTATGCAAGACGTTAGACCCCCCTCCTCCTTCCTCCTTCCAGACTGTCCATCTCTCTCTGTTCCTTTTCCTGCCTAATTTCTTGTAGAAGAAACCAAGTCTTTGCTTTCTATTAATCCCTTAATATCTGAAAACAGCTCAGAAAATTCGTGCAGTCTTACAGATCGGTGCCTCTAGAAATTCATGGCTTTCTGGTTCAGGAAGACCCTCAGAGAAGCTAAGTCAAACTTTCCCTTCGGCTTGGGAATGTCCCCAGTGTAACCTAGCTCAGCACTCCTGGTCCACACAGCTCTGCACTAGCCCTCCTCTCTTTACCTCCTATGGGTCATCTATATTCTCACACATGGCTCCCGTGGTTTCTGACCTTGAGAACCTGAGCTTCCTGTCCTCATCTCCAACCCTTTGACCCGATAGCTTTGATTTCATTTATTTTTGCCTCCCCTACCTGTTCCAATTATATGACCCACAAATCAACATCCAGATTACTATTTTCTATTATATTACCGATGAGTTCCTGAAAACTCAACATTGTTAAGAGATACAGGCCTTGAAATTCAACAGACACTTACTAGTTGTGGGTTATTGGACAAGGTAATTAATCTCTTCAAACTTCAGTTTCTTTAGATGTAAAATAGGATAATGTCTATTCCACAGAGTGTTAAATGAGATAAGGTTTGCACAATTATTAGCTCAGAGCTTACCATGTATTGAGTACTCAATGACTCCAAAAAGGGAAATTATTTTATTGTCATTCATTGAATAACTTATATATGTCAGGCATAATTCTAAAAAATATGAAGGAAGAAATGTTGGACAAATCCAATTCTTTTCCTTCATGTAGCTGTCGTTGTAGGAAACTGCATGAAACAAAGAAGGAAACATATTAAGAAATTAAGAAAGAATGATTTCTATAACACAAATAAACAAAGAAATGAAGAAGAAATGAGTGTGCCATATATAATTTGCCCTTTTTTTAGTTACCCATCTTAGTTGAAAAATAATTCTTCCTAAGTTGCACCTCTCCTTGGCATGTTTCAAGTCATGTAGAGACTCTATTTTGGATATCTTTCTATATTAGTTCATTTTGCTCATTCCCACCATGAACACACTGGTTCTCATTTCATTTTCCTGAGGTCTCTCTAGTGGTTGTTAGCTCTCACCAGAGTTCTATTCCAGTAAAAACTACAACTTTTATTAGATTGGGGTTCCCATAGCTCAGTTCAAATTTTATAACTTTCTGTGATATATATATATATATATATATATATATATATATATAATGATATACATATTTTAAATATATATATTTTTAAATTATATATATATATATATATATATATTAAATAAAAAATATATAAATTATATATAGCCCAATTACCCAACTACTCTCAGCCTAGCATCCAAGATCCTCCATATTTTTCCCTTCTTTCCAGTCCTGCCTCCCAGGCACTGAGTGTTTTGGGCCCCCCATCCCACTTTGCCCTCTATTTCCATCTCCCACTTCCTTTGCCTCTGTAGTTTTACTTAAGTTTCCCTCTCCCCTCTGTTGAGTTTTTTTTTCCTATGCATATGAAATCTTTTTTTATTCTCTTTGATAAGAATCATTACAAATTCCATGTTTTATATGTTTGTTTTGTGTTAATGTTTATTTATTTAGAGACAGAGAGGAAGCAGAGGAGGGGCAGAGAGAGAGAAAGAGGGAGAGAGAATCCCGAGCAAGTTCTGCATTGTCAGCGCAGAGCCCCATTCCGTGAGATCTGTGAGATCATGACCTGAGCTGAAATGAATAGTCAGATGCCCGGCCAACTGAGCCACCCAGGCACCCCACAAATACTATGTTTTTTTTTACAAGGTCTTTCTGATATCCTAGAGGAGGTATGATCTTGCTTTTGAGTACCTGTTGCTCTCTGAACTGCTGATAAAAAAGGCATTAATCAGTCTCCCTTGTATTTTGTTTACTTGAGAACTCCTTATCTACCAACCAGCTTGTAAGCTCCTGGAAGATTGACTACTACTACAGTTAATTTGAAAATACCAAGAACACAAAGAGGACTGCTCTCTCTGTTTTACTTAATTACTTTTCTATTATTGAGAGTACAAGGTCTGATACAAAGAGTTGCTCAATAAATATTTGCTGAACTGAGTCAATTAAATCAAGGAACTTCACCTCTAATAAGTGTTACAACGCTTTATAATTTGGACTTTAATTGAGTGTAACTCCATGATCATACATACCATTTGGCCTCTCTCGTCTTCGTTTGCAAGACACCTTAGCACATGTTATTTGTTTTTATTTGTATTATATGATGTTGAAGGTTGGAAATGCAGTGACTACTGCCTGGAATTTAATTCCAACTGGGAGTTGAGGTACGGTTAAGCATTCCTCTACAATTTACTTTAATGAGTGCAGTAATGTATTATTACAAAGAAAAAGTAACTAAAAGGTTGGTTGACCAAGCAGTGTGAAATTGAGATAAGCAACCGTCTTCTCATTAGAAATTAATCACGACTGCATTTGTAGGATTTGGTTTAAGTGCCGGAGGAGGTCATCGAGAGGACAGTCCAGATGTGACGGCAGGTCAACCCGCAAGCTTGACCCGGGCAATCTGGGAGGCTCCTATCACCGCTGTCCTTTAAAGGTATGTTCTGCCCATCATTCCCTTAGCAGGAACCGTTTTTGAGGATGCAGACTTGAGAAAGCAATGTGTTGTTGAGAGCATCTGGATGATAGACATAATTGCACTCAGTTAAAGCTTCATATAAACTTGCTAGATTCTAGCAGGCATTCGTGGAGATTTATTTGCCTTGTGGCCCCTGAAGACAAACCTTTGTAAATTCCCTTGCCTTTTTTCTTTTCTTTTCTTTTCTTTTTAAGTTCCCTTGCTTATTAAATCTGCAACCTACCACCTGGAGTGACCTACCTCTTTCTTTGGTTTTTCCTTATGCTCTGTGTTCAGGGACCAATTTGCAAGCCAAAGTGGACCCCAAATGCCCCCCTCTCCTTCCCTCCCCAGCCCCTCCTGGAGCATGTGGGAAATGAAAAACCCGTCCTCTGTTCAATGGTTTGTTTTGTGCTTTTTTATTGTGGTCACTTAGAGCAGTTTAGTGGGGAATGGTGAATGTGTCCCTTTAAGAAGAAAATCTCCTTAACCTTGAAGGGATGAATCAGGTGTGAAATGCTCTATTTGATACATTCGGAGGGATCCTTTTGTAGATTTGTGCTTTAAAATTGAAAAACATACACTGAAGTTTGACTCAGGCTCTAGTTCAAAAATATCTACAAACACCACCCCTCTTATGAGAAACAAAATGGTAGGTCATATTTTTCTAGAATAAAAGGAATACTTTTTAAATATCAATCAACATAATGGAGGGTTCTTTAACTGCTCCAATCTATTCAGGCTAATGAAGGCATCATTTTTTCTAGCAAAAAGCATTTGTCACTGTATGCAATTTTGCTCCTGATTTTCTTCTTATATATTTGAATTAGAAAGATTTCATCAGAATGCATCTCTGTAGCAATTTGTAAATAATGATGAATAGCAGGTGTATAATTTTAAATTACCAGAAGCAGGAGAAGAAGGGGTGAATTTTAAAAATGCTAAAATCTGCGATAACACTAAACTTGCTTTGAGCCTCTGCCCTCTCAAACCCTATCTCTCAGGGAGATAAAATAATGAAAAATACTTCCCTAAACTGCTGGCAAAACTCTTATTGTTTGTACCACTCTTGGAAAAGACTCTTGGGACGAGCAGAGGAATCCTTGCTATTGATTGGCTGGTTAAATAGAGGACTATTAGCTTCAGACAGGCTAGATTGATTATACAGCAGCAGCAGCGGGAGCTGGGACTCAGAGCTGAGTGAGCGTCAGGGTGAAAAGGAGAGAGAGAGAGAGAGAGAGAGAGAGAGAGAGAGAGAGAGAGAGAGAAAGGGAGAGAGGCAAGGTGGGGAGAAAACGGTGCACGTTCCATAGCATCACTGTGTGACTGCTGGTGCCGATTAGGATTAGCTTGCTTTCTCGCTTTCTCAGTCAACAACTTACTGAGACGCCTTTTCTTTTACAAGAGGCTGTCAGCGCCGAGCCCCAGCAAGAAATAAAAGACTTCACCTTGGAATAGTTCATCTCACTCCGGCATCATTAAAGAGGATTTTGAAAAGAAAACAAAAATCACATCCCCTTCCCAGCCCCACTTTGTTCCAGGATCGAACAGACACAGTTGCATGCTTCAGGTAAGGAGATTAAATTTTTATCTCGGGATTCGTTTTTAGTCACTCGCAGTAAAATATAGCCTAGCCTTGCATGTTTTAAAAACTGAGTTTTCAGGGATGTGTTAGACTCAATGCCATGCATAGGCATGTGGATTTAGAAATGTGCTGATACATGTTTAGAGGTATATATTTGCTGTTTTATCTCCAGGTACATAGAAATTTTATTTATAAGATCACTAGCTGTTAAGTTTATAGAGCAGATATTCTGTATGGAAAAAAAAAAGACAAGAAAAGAAAAGAAAAGGAAGCAAAGTCCATACTCAAAGGAGCATTTCTGGTGACAGCCTTAAAATATGTTCACATATAGTGTTCTTAGCTGTGAAACAACTTTGGGAAAATAACAGCATATCACAAAAGGACCATCACTGTGTTAAGTACGTACTATTCAATTTCATGCAGACATAGAAGCTACAATGTCTTCAGTGATTGTCAGTTGTTACTGTTTTTTTTTTTTTCCTGAACCTGTCATTCACAGTCTTAACACACTTCAACATAAACGTGATGTGTCCTAAATGATGTGACATTAGACTGCCATCTTATTATGGCTAAGTTATTGATGGTTAGCATTTGGTCTTAAGAAAGTACTGAGCTTGGGCAAAGAAATATGACCCTGGAGATGTTTAGCTATTCTACAGTCCATGGCTGAGCTGCAGTCTCATCAATTAATATTAAGTGTCAGTGATGGCATATGCTGGTAAAGTGTCTGTGAACATGCAGAAACTTTGCACATGTTAAAATCTCTTCTGAGAACAGTATTTTTTTTCCTTGAGGAAAGCGACTGGATGGCATAGGAAAAACAGGCTGGGACAATGCAGTACTGATGTAGTTGATTGACCTTAGGTTTACAGTTCGACTGCTAAAGAGGCAGCATTGTGATAGAAGACGAACGTGACGAACTCCCTCCGTCCTTGCTGGAACTCAAATGGTCTATGATATTTTTGGTGTAAATTTATTTGCTTTTGGGTCAGTGAAGACAGGCATTTTATCCCGAGCTGCTCTGATTGTGTTTTTGAGTGAAGTTCCCTGAGTCACTAATCAAAAATCAAACTGCCAGCTGGGACAAGCCGGCAAAACTTTTTAGTTTGTTGTTCAGCGGTTCAAATAATAAGATTCCAATACTCTTGGGAATCAACCTAGCCGAAGTTAGGAATATTACATACTCTGAATGTCTATATACGTGTCTGTGTTTAACCCTTGCTTAGATATTAAATATACATATTTAAGGGACACAAATGTTCATGAACTCTATTTTGTCTTTTCAGTGTGGAATGTTTTAATGCTTCGTGATAACATAAATAGTATATCTATCCAGATATTTACATTTATATCACCAATATCAGAAGGGAACAATTGTTATAAATTTGGTAAAGTACAGTTTGTCTAAAAGAATAGGAATGTGTATTGAAGAATATTGGATATGTTTGTCTTTGAATTCAGTCATTTGAGAAAACAATTATATCCATGTCTTTTGAGTATTATCTTTGAAAAATTAATATCACACTATTGACTGAGGAAGGTGGCAGGTACTTTAGACCATACTTCCAAACACACACAGACACACACAGACACACACACACACACATATACATATATACATATATACATGTATGTATATATATTTTTATATATTTATTTATATATTGATATATTTATGATTATATATATTATAATTATATATGATGTAATATTACATATTATATATGAGTAATATTATATCAAATCCACACACAGCCTTTGCCATAAATCTATTATAATCTTGTTTAATTACTGCTTTGCATTTATTACAATAATTATATTTACTTTTTTGCAATTTATCCAAAATTATATTTTTAATCCTTCTATTTTATTGTTTATGAAAAAAAATGTGACATATATTTGGTTCACTGTGGCTAAAGTGATATAATTACGATTTAACTAATTCATCTTGTAATTTTCAAATTTAATGCACAGTTATTTAAAATTCCATAATTTTTTGTTGCCATAATCTTAAGCATCTAACCTAGTTATGCAGTACAGTTACCTTATAGCACTTATCTATGGGTTATAATGAGCTATATAGCATAAAGAAAACTAATTCTTAATTGTGTTGTATTTTTCATGAGACTGTTGATACTTTAGCATAGGTGGATGTAAGCATCCATACTTGTTTTTTTTTTTTCTATGAATAGGCATGTTTTTCCTTTCAAAAGACTTAATACATTTCTGAACTATGTGCCTCTTGCACTTAAGCATTCTTCTTAGCTTACCCCAAATGTTACTTTGATACTCTCTTATGTTTTTTTCTTGTTGTTATCTTACAAATTCTATAATTACTCCTGTAAGAGCTTTAATTCCCCAGTCTTCACAAGATATTGTCCCATGATTGGAAACAAAGCAAGTTTTTTTTAAATAACATTTGGCACTTCTGGCGACATAATTAAAATGTCTCCTGCTTTCCAGAGCAGTGCTCCTCAGCAAACAAGATCAAGGGAGACAGGTGTTCTAGCAGTCATGTGTAGAGGTGACTGTCTGAGTCTGAAATCTAGCAGCTTCTTTTGTGAATTCAGCTTTCCATTTTCTTTGCGTTTCGGGAAAGGCTCCATTTGACCCTTTATTCAACCTTCTATTTACTTCCACAGTATTAGGTATCTTTGTTGATTACTCATTTTAGCCACAGTGAACCAAAAAGAAACAAGAAAGTACAACCTCTTCTGTTTATATAGGTATCTGAGCCATTAGGGGGCTCTTTCTTCCTATGTTATCCTCAGCAAACCTCTGGGAGAGATTACATTGCTTCCTTAAAGTATTTTCCCTGTGTTTAGAACGTGAGTGCTGTTTGAAGCAGCTTCCCCCTACTTTCCACAGACAGAACTATTGCAGATTAATAAGATTTTTTTTTTTTATTTTCATGGGAAAGTGAATGTATCCTGTGCTGTCTCAATTTATTCTCCTCAAAATGTTCTTATCTATGAAATGTTTAATCTCTGGAAATAACAATGGTTTGACAGAGTGAAATGACCAATCTTAGATAAATTTAAAGACTTCTGTCTTATGCAGCTAGTAGCTTAAGAAATGTAAAACTAAGGAAGAGCTGCAGGGAAGAAAGTTCCTTTACAATCCTCTGCAAATATCTGAGAGAGAATGAGTGCCTCAGGGCTCACCTGCAATTTGCTTTCAGCAGAAAAGAACAGCAGGCAGCAAAAAGAATATTACTTGTTTCCTACAAAAATAGACATGGAAGAATTGAAAATAATAGGATGGGTTCACTCCCCATACACATGTAGGACATGTACTTTGTAAATTCCATTCTTGTTTCTGAAAACTAAATGAAGTTTTCTTAAATATACACAGAGGGTGATGCAGGCAGCTGATTATGGGGGCAAGCCACGCATATTGAACTGCACTGCAGACTTTCTTAAGAAATGGAAACACATTCCTCCTCTATCCACAGCAGCTAAAGATGCCCCCTGCTTACAGGACTAGTTTGGGGATTAGTCAACACTTACTAACGTCTCCGGGCAAAAGCAGTCTGTTTAGTGGGTCTCGGATTTTCCTCAAAGGACACCACCCCCAGACAGAAGTGACATACACTCGTGAGAGAGATTTCTTTGGGGAAGTGAGAGAAGGGGAAGGATTCTGAGCTGTGCATCACGGAATGCCATTCCTTTACTGAACAGTTCCTTGATTTATCAGGAGAGAAGAGTAGTCGCTTAAATAAAATAAGACGGAGTGGCACAGATATTTCCTTTACTGGTGTTTTGCAAGGAAACATGTAAGCTTTATCTTCTGTATGAAAATGTGCATACCTTGAAAAGCGTAAATTTTGAATGCGACTAGTATAATACACACAGTTGTGTGGGGATCAGTCCAAGTCTTCCTGGAACAGGCCGGTATATATTCTAATGCAGTTATTTCTTACCGAGTTAGCTTTCGGTAATGTGAACGGGTAATAAGACTTGAGAGGGAATCCTAATGCTACCAATTTTAGGTAATCAGGATGAGGAATGTTTTAAGGTCTTTAAGTTTCTTCTAAAAAGAGGTGGTCTTTTATTTTCAAGGAGTACTGCATTGAAGATGGAGAAAAGGGCTAAAATCGAAAATAAGATAAATGAATAAAAATGCATTGACTGTCCATGATTTTTTTATGTTGCCAAAATGTACCCAAGGTCAATATAACAATGCAAGTTAAAGACTCATGTTTTCTATATAATGGTAAAGAAGTGCAAATACCACCGAAGTGAAATGTTATTTTGTCTCCTTCTCTGTTTTTATCTTATTTTTCCTTCCTTTCCCCAACATTCATCTGTTTTGTTTCTTAAATTCCACATATAAGTGAAAACATATGATATTTATCTTTCTCTGACTCACTTATTTCACATAGCACAATACACTCTAGTTCAATCCACATTGTTGGAAATGACAAGATTTCATTCTTTTTGATCACCTAGTAGTATTCCTTTGTGTGGATATAATACATTTTCTTTATCCATTTGTCAGTTGCGGGACATTTGGGCTCTTTGTATAATTTGGCTATTGTTGATAGCATTTTGGACAAAGCATGGCAAATGGGCTGCAAATATTTATGCCCTATACGTTTTTTTAATGTCTAGACTTAATTTTTAGATCAGTTTTAGGTTTACAAAAATGAGATGTACAAACATAGAGTTCCCGCAGACTTCCTCACCTCTGTCTCCTTTACCCTGCGAGTTTTCCCATATCATTAATATTTTGCCTTCTTGTGGTACATTTCTCATAGTGAATGAACCATGATTCATAAATCATTATTAACTGAAGTCCAGAGTTTACCTTAGGGCTGACTCTTCGTGTTATATATTTTTGGGGTTTTGACAAATGTATAATGGAATATAGCCACCATTATAATCACATGCAGAATGGTTTCACTGTGCCAGATTCCCCTGTGTGCCACCAAAATAGATTTTTCTCTCTCCCTTCCTCCCTTCTGTCCTCCCCCTGAACCTTGG